CTTAGATAAGTGGAGGAATCAACTTCGTTCGGGGAACAAGGTTTTTCAAAAGGATTTGCGTACGACTGAACACCTATTGTGTAACAGTGTTGCTGCTCTCGAGCTAGATTAGTTGGTCTAATCGCTCCAGCGACTACCCATCCGAGACGAGTCTTCTGGAGGATTGGGTTTTCAGTAATTGTTATTTGTCCTGGTACCAACATTTTAAAGAATAGTTCAATGCCAATGGCAATGAGCAAATCTACTTCTCCAGGAATGTGGAAAGTAGGATCAGCAAGGAGAATTCCAGACGGTAAATTCCAATGATATCGATGGGAACTGACGGAATGAGTCCAGTGACTCGATCGGTAACGCGACACTTCAACTCCTCATGGAATACCACCACTCGGACACGACGTAACAAGCTCCTGTACTTTCTTTTGCACACGTGACGATGTAGCTTTTATTAGCTTTCACTCACGAGTACCGTAGCTACTGTACATTCGAAGAAACAAAATAGGTAGGGTAGCTACTTCGTCGTAATCGCCCATTTCCGTTCTATCGATCAGAAAAGATCAATAATATCAATAATTTCACCGTGCACAAATCAATAATAGGTTTGTTCCGATGCGTTAGTTCATTAGCTACAACATAAATCCTGTTAGAGCGCATTGTATGAATATTTACGCTCATTGTTCTCAAAACAAAAGAAGCGCTCCTAGCGAATCCTCTTTTTCTACGTTTATCCGTAGGACAAAGAAAATCTAATGGCGTTTCAATGCGTTAGGACGGAATTGAAACTCGTAGAACGAATTTAGAATCAAGAAGCAGTGTTAGATTTTAGACAATATCTCAACAATTTGTGACTCTTTATCAAATCCAACGGTACGTATGGAAAGGTGAATAAATTTGCAAGTCAGTTTTGATAGAAATATTCCATTTTTTGTTTAAACTCGTTCAGAAAAGAGAGGTAAAGCGCGGGTTGTGGTTAGTAGGACGGAAATTAGATCAAAAACCCTACTCTCCTTTCCGCCAAGCGACAAGAACATTCGAAAATAAACTCTGCGAGCTTTTGTGTGGCAGATCGGCTGATCACAGCGACCAATGGCACGAACTTTTCGACACGTTGTTGTGGTTGCTGCAACGAGAAACAATAAAATCACTCGGATCCGGTAGGATGGGACCGACTTGTCCGCTCATGGGCGCTGAAAATAGTGTGGAAAATCCTCGGCTCGAAGGGGAATACCAAAGTTATGGATGGTTACGAAATTTTAGACTAGCAAAAATTATCGCATTGTGAGCCTTGAGAAAGACTTGGTTTTCGGCTTGTCACGGAAAAGGAGAATGCGTATTTTGTTTAGTTTAAACTTTGTATTAAAAATGATCCGTTCGATACAATGTTTTATGTATGATAACGAAGATTCTAAAACGGTCTAACAAGGTATTGTTAATTTGGTTTCCAGGATGAATACGATATACAGAAACACTTGTTGACTATGCACTAATACCAACAATCAATACGAAACTAACGATTTTAAATTGGCTCACCACTTTAGTAGCCTATTGGTCCCAAGCAAACGATTAACGTACCCTATTCTAGTTGAAATTCTATTACTACACTATGTTTGTTTTGATTCGCTATGAAAGTTTGACAGATAACATCAGGGGTGTGTGGATTCATGCAAAACATGCAGGGGTGAGTGAAATAGCTTGGGACTGCTTGGGACCGTTGTTCTGGTACTGAGTGAGCCAAAAATAATAATGATTTTCTTCGGGACCCAGTGGTCTTAGAGTTACCTCTATGGTATTAGAGAGCGAGACCCTGCTCGCATCGTTTATTTACGTGCTTGCTTTTTACACATACGCTTATGAGTTACGTACAATGTAACTATTCGATCGCTACAATAATAGCTTCTCTGTTAAGAGGGGCATACACTATACCAGTACCAGTACCATGGTACCAGTGCTGTAAATTCTCAGAATCAATTGATCATTTTTGATGAAAATGAGAAAAGCAACTATCCACTATCAAAGGGGACCTCCTTCGAATGTATGATTTCAGTTGCTTAGTCATTTGACAAAGGCATGGATCATTCTCATTTGAGAAACGCTTGATATCATTCAATTGAGTGTAACCCGAGGTGTAACTTACACATAAACGGAGCTCTGGTCGACATTCCGGCGAAAAAGCTAAGCCAACCCGACACCAACCTGACTTCTACCAAACCCCAACCTGATGTTGACCCGACATAAGCATAAAATTGACCCGACAACAATACGACATTGGGTCGACATCGACCAAAAAATTGCCTTACATTGATCCGACATCGGGTCGACTTGTCTGTTCATGATCATTTTGCTGGGTTTCTTCCATACTTCACTGTCGTATATCAAATGATAGTGAAGGCCGGCGCACAATGCATAAGTTTACAGGTTTTTTGACAGTTAGCCCATGCATTATCTGTTAACAAACCCGGAAACTTATGCATTGTGCGCCAGTCTTGAGTGACTCAATTGACAGTGACGATGAGCTTCGAATGAGAAAGGGGCTCTTCAAATTATGGTCATGTGAGAATTCGTTTTCACAGAATTGATTTAATGGTTGTATTGGTTCATCTTCAATCGAATGATATGAAAATTAACAGCACTGGTTGGTAAGGGAGAACTGCCCATAATGCACCCCTGGGGTAATATGCCCACTTATAGAAAAACAGCGATAACTTTTCCTCAGATGTATTTTCCGGGTAACGGATTGTGTTTGTTTTCAACTGGAATTTCACAAATAATTCTTGATCATAAAATCATATATTGACCTACTGATTCCATTAAAAAAATAGCATTTTGTGCAAAACATGACACAGTTGTTAAAATCATCGACTGCAAATTAAGCTTTTGAACGAATTCACTTTTCGTAAAAAAATCACAGTTTAACATTCTATTGAGGCCTTATTTCTGATGTAACATAAAGGAATTATCATTTGAAATACCTTTTTCCTTTGCATTATTTATTTGCAGGGGTTATGGTTTGTCTATCATGCGGTGCCTTTTACCCCAATGTTGTGGTGCGTTTTGGCCATTGTTTTCGTGCGTCTTGCCCTAATGTTGTGGTGCATATTGCACCATGAATCAGGCGTTTTGTCCCGCTATCATTTTGGAACCATTTTATAAAATACCTTGCAAATCATCGTTTTGTGGTTCTAAATCACTCGATCTTCGTAGAAAACATGCCAATGAACCATACACCATTACTTTCTTCTTGACTTTACCTTCCATACGCCAGCATTTGCCGATTTTACTTAAACGGTGCGTTTTGCACCATCCTACCCTACACGTATATGAGCATGGCGCGAAAGATGGGTACTTTTATATGTTCAATTCTTCTTCTTCTTCTTCTCCTCCTCGCTGCTATGCTACGATAGGAAATTCTACTAGTGGGAGGAGCCATAGCTTGCGGCAACATGCTCATTTTCGGTAGTGCGTGTGTTGAAGTGGAAAAGGACTGAAGTTAGTAGGGTGACCGATTACCCGAGGTCAGCTCGGGGTTAATGGATGGGACTTTGCCAAATAATATGAGGTGGAAAACGGGGATCAATTTAATCAGCACTAATAAGAAAAAATACAAGAAAATCACACAAAACGTTCGCCTCGTGCGTGAACACTAACCTTCTCACGAACGAGTGTGAGGTGATTGAGAGGTGGAAGCAGTACTATGACGAGCACCTCAACGGTGATGCAGCAGAAAACAAAGGTGGCACGGCAACAGACCTTGGAGCACAAGCAGAAGCCGACAGGCTACCGGTCCCCGATCTTCAAGAAGTTGAGGAGGAGGTCGATCGACTAAAGAACAACAAAGCAACTGGTGTAGATCAACTACTAAGTGAGCTATTAAAATACGGTGTTGAAGCACTGGCTAGAGCGCTGCACTGGGTAATTGCCAAGGTTTGGGAGAAGGAGATATTACTGGAGGAGTGGATGGAAGGTGTCGTATGACCAATCTACAAAAAGGGCGACAAGTTGGATTGGTGCATCTACCGCGCGATCACACAGCTGAGGGCCGCTTACAAGGCACTCTCCCAAATTCTATGTCGCCGCCTGCCACCATTTACAAGAGAGTTCGTGGGGCAATTGCCCGCGCTACCACGGATCAAATTTTTGCGGTTCGACAGGTTCTGCAGAAATGCCGCGAATACAACGTGCCCACACATCATTTGTTCATCGATTTCAAATCCGCATACGACACAATCGATCGAGATCGGCTATGGCAGATTATGCACGAGTACGGATTTCCGGATAAACTGACGCGATTGGTCAAGGCGACGATGGATCGAGTGATGTGCGTTGTTCGAGTATCGGGGACACTCTTGAGTACCTTTGAATCTCGCAGAGGGTTACGGCAAGCAAGGTGATGGGCTTTCGTCTCTGCTATTCAACATCGCGTTAGAAGGTGTGATCAGAACAGCTGGGATGGACACGAAAATGATACCCGCGGACACTCCGGTCGAATAAAATTCGCCGACGCACGAAGTTGACTATCTACATAACGCTGATTAGACAGGTGGTCCTCTACGGTCACGAGACCTGGACTATGCTCGTGGAAGACCAGCCCTTGGTGTTTTCGAACGGAAGGTGTTGCGTACCATCTACGGTGGGCGCACAACGCCTAATTTCGAGCAGTTTTGAAATTTTTTAAAATAATTATAGTTTGAATTGAATTATAGATGAAGGTAGATTTAAACACAGGTGTATGGAAAACATATTAATTTAGATGACATTTTAGTATTCTGCAAAATATTGGTGAAATGCGCGTAATTAGTTAAAAAAAAAAACCTAGTCGAAAATTTACTTCAAAGATGAGTTCAAGAGTCACTGTAATAATTGGCAACCAAAATTTGTTTGGCTGTTCGAGGTTCAAGGTTTAATCAGGTATAAGTGGGTGGTAGTACAAAACGGTATCCACTGTCGATATCCTTCAACTTTTTTAAAAATAATACTTTATTTCCATTCTGCTTCTATCGTTTCAGATTAAGCCCTACGCAGCAGCTCAGTACAACGAAAAAATCCACATCAAACCAAGCTAGTGGATCATCAGGTATATCACCAACTAGCGAAAGCGACAGTACTCTAAGATGGTCATGCAGTACTTGTACTTACTTGAACCTGCCCCACGCTCGACGTTGTCAGCAATGCAATAGCAAACGAGAAGATGAAATATTGATCAAACCGTTGAACCAGAAACCTCTGCCGCAAAAATCCATACCATCGAAGATGATTTCGGAATACGACAGTTTGAGTGACCAATTGAATGCCCTCAATATTTGTCGAAGCACGGGTGAAGATGATTTGTTAGATCTGTTCCATCCTGGAATAGAAAGTGGTCGTAAACGGCGGAATAACTCGCCTTCTCATAAAGGTTCCACTGCTGCAGAACGGGTTCTGGAAAGTTCCAAAGATAACGATTCAGGAGGTGTGATTTGTGGCGCAAAACACCAGTCACCGACATCGACTTCTCCAGTAAACACTTGTTCCCGTTCGTCTAACAATACAGGAAAATGGTCTTGTTCTGCTTGTACTTATGAAAATTGGCCCAAAGCATTAAAGTGCTCAATGTGCTTACATCCACGCGAAACAAACAGTGGTCGCAATAGCCAAGCTTCTGCAAAACATTCACCAGAACACGATGAGAATGTTGCTAGCAATATAGTGGTTAACAATAAACGTAATCAACAGTTGGTTCGCGAGCAGGAACCAATGAACAATCTGGATGTATATCAACAAGAACGATATATGCGTCAACTGAGGCGACAGCCAGATTGGCAGTGGCTTAATGCATGCATCGGAATTGCAGAGAATAATGTGGGAGCCGTTGAAAGTTATCTAACCTGTGGAGGAGATGCTGGTCGAGCTCTTACCCATTCTGAAGTCAACTTGTTGAATCATAACAATATTGCTTTTGATGTTGGTCATACTTTAATTCACCTGGCAATTCGGTTTCATCGTGATGAAATGCTGCCAATGCTTTTGGTTCAAATCTCAGGTTCAGGTCCAGGTATCAAGAGGGTACCCTCGTACGTCGCCCCCGATTTGGCCAGCGATATAAGGCGTCACTTTGCCCATTCGTTACGTATCCGAAAAGCATCGTTCAGCTGCCAGTACGTTACTGAGCATGCAACATTTTCGCTGCCAGCAGATATCGAAGAACTTCCATTGGCTCTGCAGGAGCAACTGTATGAAGAGCTTCTTGATCGGGATGCCCAGAAGCAGCTGGAAATGCCACCGCCAGCTCTAAATTGGTCGCTGGAAATCACCGAACGGCTGGGATCCCGTTTAATGGTGCTATGGAATCGAAGTGCCGGTGATTGCTTGCTAGACTCGGCCATGCAAGCAACATGGGGTGTATTCGATCGTGATAATACTTTAAGGAGGGCTCTTGCTGACAGTTTACATCAGTGCGGCCACTTGTAAGTGATGGACTTGTCTAGATACATAACAGAGTGTAGCAATTGATTGCGAATCTCATTTCAGTTTCTATCCTCGCTGGAAAGAAAACGAAATCCTTCAAGCTGCGCTGCTACACTACACTTTGGCTGAATCGCAACTAGAAGAAGATTGGAGTACTCTACTATCACTTGCTAGTCAGCCTGGGTCTTCACTCGAACAATTACACATATTCGTTCTAGCACATATTCTACGTCGGCCTATTATTGTCTATGGTGTAAAGTACGTAAAAAGCTTCCGTGGCGAAGACATCGGTTATGCCAGATTTGAAGGCGTTTATTTGCCTTTGTTGTGGGAGCAAAGCTTTTGCATAACCTCGCCAATTGCTCTTGGTTACACCAGAGGTCATTTTAGTGCACTCGTACCGACGGAACCTTACTCACGAATAGATGCAGCTCGAGACGATAGGGAAGACATCACCTTTTTACCTTTAATGGACTGCGAGATGAAGCTTCTGCCGATTCATTTTTTGAATAACAACGAGGTACGTTCTTCGAGCTAATATTTTCGGGCAAGGAAATTGCATTATTTCTCTTTGTCGTTCTCAGATTGGTCGGGAAGAGTCTATCATGCGCCAGTGGTTAGATGTCTGCGAAACTGAAGGGTTATTAGTAGCACAGCAGAAATTGCATAAACGTCCACTATTAGTCGCTCAAATGCTAGAGGAATGGCTTAATCATTACCGGAGAATAGCGTAAGAAAATAAATAAGCTGGAACACGGCTTGGTATTACTAAGTTACTTTGTTTTTTTTTACTTTTCAGTATTTCAAGGCTTTTTTAAATTGCTGGAACGGCTGGCTGGGAGATTTTAACAAAATTAATAATTTTAATCGTAGAGAAGAGACACAACGTCACATATGTCACTTATCCAACTGTGTAAATCACTTACAACTAGAGAAAACCCAGAAAACCAAGCTTCGCCACATCACAAACATTAGCACTGTATCGAACGTACATCGAACGTCAATTATTGTAATATTCAACAACTGTTGTAACGAAAAATCAAAAAAAAAAAAAAAACAATTACACAAATCGTTTCACATCTGCACAAAATCTGTATTCCTAAAATACACCCTCCGTCGATACAAAAAAAAAAATGATACTGGCGAAGGGAGGACGATGCATTCTGAAATCTCCCACTTGCTACCTATGGCGATATCCTGAACCTATCACAGTTTCCCACCAACCCTGAGGCAGTGTAGCACAGTAGTTGATTGCGAGTAAGAAATAAATTAAACGATGCACTTGTACTTTACAATTTGAAAAATTGCTAAAATACCATGCCAAGTAATCAAGATAGATCCAATCTATTAACTCGAACACAGCTCTGTTATGTTTGTTACGTTTTACGGAATTTAAAACTATTTTCGGGTTTCTACTTTGGTGTGTACATACTTTCGTTTATTCGAATAATAAGTGAGTTATCTATATACATAAATGACGCAAATAAATTATTTTCAAAAGTCAACGAATGCGACTTAATTTTATTGAGATCTGAATTTCCTGTGGTCCGAATATCTATACTATATAGGGTAAGGTGGGGCAAGATGGGTCATCTATTTAATTTTTTTTTGATAGTCAACACCAACAGGTTCAATACTGACTTGAAAAAACTTGGGGTTGAATCGAACCTGTTGAGTTTGACAAACAAATAAATTAATAAATGTACGAACTGACCCATCTTGTTCAACTTTACCCTACTTTTAAGCGAGAATACTTAAATGAAAACAACATACAATAATGTCACGCTCTTAAGTCCCTAATTTTGCTAAATTGAGCTGAATATAGGATAGGCACAGTTAGAGAGTGTCTAGTATAAGAGAGGAGCGGACTGGTTGGTTTTGAGCCAGGCTATCTGTGAAAGCCAGAGCCAATCGAGTAGCGCCTATCTTGATTGCATTGACATTGTGGCTAGAAATCACTCAGGCATAGGTTGCCAAGGAATTTTGTTTTGAATCTGCTCCTCTCTTATACTAGACCCTCTCTAGGTACAGTTCTTGTTCGTTAACTGGGCTAAAAGCGCCCAGTTAGATACTTGGGTTCTTTAATTTTGAAAAATATACCGATTTTATACATCATCTGATAGAGCTTCGTTTTCTGAGCACAACAATATTTTTATCGATCCCGTAGACATTCATCTCGATTTTTAAATCAAGATTTAAATGTTTGATCATTGACACTAAATCCATAGAGGTAACTCTATGAGCAGAAGGTCCCGAAAAAACGTGCTAAACTTTTTGGCTCAGCTCTGGTACTATCTTCGGTCCCAAGCTAATCGATGCACTCCTCGAAGCACAGGAAAATCCACGAACCCCTCATTTTATCTGTCAAACTTTCATAGCAAATCAAAACAAACATAGTGTAGTACTAGAATGTCTACTAGAATGTAGTACTTTAATCGATTTGCACATGGCAACACTACTACCAACAATCAATACGAAACTAACGATTTTAAATTGGCTCACCACTTTAGTAGCCTATTGGTCCCAAGCAAACGATTAACGTACCCTATTCTAGTTGAAATTCTATTACTACACTATGTTTGTTTTGATTCGCTATGAAAGTTTGACAGATAACATCAGGGGTGTGTGGATTCATGCAGAACATGCAGGGGTGAGTGAAATAGCTTGGGACTGCTTGGGACCGTTGTTCTGGTACTGAGTGAGCCAAAAATAATAATGATTTTCTTCGGGACCCAGTGGTCTTAGAGTTACCTCTATGCTACTACCATAGAGGTAACTCTAAGACCACTGGGTCCCGAAGAAAATCATTATTATTTTTGGCTCACTCAGTACCAGAACAACGGTCCCAAGCAGTCCCAAGCTATTTCACTCACCCCTGCATGTTCTGCATGAATCCACACACCCCTGATGTTATCTGTCAAACTTTCATAGCGAATCAAAACAAACATAGTGTAGTAATAGAATTTCAACTATAATAGGGTACGTTAATCGTTTGCTTGGGACCAATAGGCTACTAAAGTGGTGAGCCAATTTAAAATCGTTAGTTTCGTATTGATTGTTGCTACTACTGGATTGAACTAGCATTTTCACCAAATGTACTAGAATGTTTTTGTTCTATCCCTTTCACTCTACTCAAAACTGAAATGCATAAAAAAATGACAAAATAATACACTCTTTGCACACTGTCAAAGAAACATTGTACACAAAATCAACTTTGTTCAAATCAAAACAAAAAAAAATTACCCATCTGGTGGATGATGGCACAAGCTTCCAAGAAAATTCTATTACAGTGAACCACATTATTTAAATGGATTTCTTCGCCAGTTATTCGTCTGTCACTTCGTTTGTGCTAATAGGCTAGTCAAGTAGTGAGCCAATTTTAAATTGTTAGTTTCCAACCGCAAAAGCTCATTACAGCTAAAATGCTATTTTTTGGATTTATGAAGCTATGAGATATTTCAATGATAATTCTTATTTACAAGATGCAAGAAAATAAGGTAAAGTGTGTGTATGACACATAAAACCTGTCAATTTAGCTTTCAGAGAGTCACAATAGCGATTAGCTGTAACGATGAGCGAGCAATCAGTGATCATAAAATAGCTAGTTGTGACCTTCTGAAAGCAAAATTGACAAATTTTATATGCCATACATAAACTTTACCACCTCTTCTTGCAAATAAAAATCATCATTTTAGTATGCCATGGTTTCATAATTACGAAAACAAGCACTTTAGCTGTAATGATCAATTGCAAGCCTGCTTGTAAGTTACAAGAGGTTGTAAAGCATGTGTTTGACTCATGAAATTCCGCTTTCAGAGCGTTACAATTAGCGATTTCATGATTCGTGAGCGTTCATTTAGAGTGAGTAGAAAGCAAGATTACTATTCAGACCAGTTCCAGGCCAAATAGGATAAAAACATAATCATTTTGACTCGACCTTTACCGATTTGCATGAAACTTTGCATAGTTATGTGTTATGGGCATTCATTCACATTTTTGCAAAAGTTTGGCTCTTTTGGATCTTGTATTTTTTTTTCAAAATGGCGTCATTGGCATTTGTTTGTATGTTTGTAAGGGATACCACTCATTGTTGCAGGGCGCAGCCATTAGACAGTGGACTTTCCGCCACGAATGACTTGATGAAGTACGATACCTTTTTTTTCTTTATTTAACGTCGGTCTCTGTTCCGCAATCTAGTGCCAATCACCGACGGACATCGATTGCCATCCATTGACGGCAATCGAATGTGCAGGAAAGGAAGGCAGCTTCCACTCCTGCGTAGGATATCGCACCCATTCATCAACACACATGGGCCGGGACCAACGGCTTTACTTCCCTTCCGAAGGAAGACGTGACAGAGATTTTTATGCCTCAGAAAAAAAAACCCACCGACCTCGACTGGGATTGAACCCAGACCTATTGGGGTGAGAAAGCAGTCACGCTTACCACTACACCACCGGCGCCGGCGAGTACGATACCTGGTTATACTCAATGTACCATTGTATGAAGGGCCTAAATCGGAGGGTTGACTTATAAGCTGAGACACTTACGCGTGATCCACGGGAGCAAGAAGAATTTCATTCCAATGATAAATATGTTCCAACCAGATACAGAACAAGCCATCATACGAGGGGATGTCCCAATTCACGAAATGATAACAACAGGGAATTGGCAATTGAACTCTCCCCATCCAAATCGCTTCAATCAGGTCCCATCCCAATGAATTTATATGATAATATGAAAATATGTATATGCATATGAAATTTATATGACAATATAAAATATGATACGCGATAATTCATATATCCAGAACAACATATGAAAAGGGCATACAAGCTTTTTGTAAACAAACCTTTGTAGGCCCTTTTCTCGCCAACCGAGGGTCGCCCACGCAAACCAGCAATATCATCGGGAAGGGGAAAGTGTCCCCTACCCGGTGATGTTAAAGGTTTGCGTTGGTGTCATATGGGTGGCGAGAAAAGGGCATAAGAAGGTTTGTTTACAAAAAGCTTGTATGCCCTTTTCACATGTTGTTCTGGATATGTCGTCATTGACATTTGTAGCACGAAAACGTTATTTCTGATCGAAATTACGCCTTGAAAATATTTGTATTGAAAAGAAAAGTCTTTCGGGAAAAATATGCACGGTATTTTTTTAAAAGTAGTATTTAGTAAAAATTCCAAAAAGTGTTAAAATCTGAAATACCTCACTTTGCCTCAGACGTCATAAGACCAGAAGTGTCGTTTTCGTGCTACAATTTATTGGAAAATAGCACAAACGCCATTTCCAAAACAAACAAAAAATTACAACATCAAAAGTTGTTGAATTTTTGTAAAAATGTGAATGATTGCTCAATAATGCAAAGTTTTATGCAAATGGGAGAAGATCAAGTTTTTACGATTCGTCATTTTTTTCGTGGAACTACTCGGCAGGCTTGTTATTTGCTCACACATTGAGCACAAAGAGTGAGGGGCACGCACTAGTCTTTCAATACTACGTAGCCTATTGACCAAATATTTAAAATCTTATCATTACTGCTTTCATTACTTTAAATACACTCTAAATTTACTCAAATACTTTAAATACTCACAAAATTTGATACTTAAATTATTCAAAGTATATTTAAATTATTTGCCATTAAATAAATTATTGCTAACTATATGTTGATTACTTTCAATAACCTTAAAAGTATTTACAATTAAATTATTACAGTCCTCAAAGTAATTAAATTACTGATATATTTTAAATATCACGCACTCATACTATAGTCGCTATATTCATAGTCTGGTGGATAGAATTTCGAGCAATCAAAAAGCGGAACCAATTCAATATATTTTAGACCAACAATTGAAAAGGTACTATCCACTTTAACAAACAAAACGTTGATTATGCTTCCTCGCCAATCGATTACAAATTACCGGCATCATCGGATAGGGGAAACTTTCCTCAACCCAAAGATGGTGTTAGTTTGCGTAGGCGAGTCTTGAGTCACGAGAAAAGAGTTTCCGAATTTTTGTTCGCAATAGCTGATGTGCTCTTTTTCTGTTATTGGTTGTGATTTGCTCGATTGGTTCCGTTATTTGACAGCTCAATTGGTTCCCGAGATTCTATCCGCCAGACTATGAATATAGCGACTATACTCATACCTGGTAGTGCGCGCCCATCGGCAAAGAGCTAATTTTACTGCTTGTCAAATTGAGGAATACGATTACACAGCTTTATGAAAACACATTCACCACAGACAAACAGACGTAACTCTTCATTGACGCATTTAACGGTAGATTTGAATATTATCAGTTCCGCGAACTACTCGTCGCATTCTATAGAACTTTTATGCAATACTGTTTGCGAGTTAGCGAGCAAGCTTGTTTTCGAAGAGATGTCGTTACTGAGGTCCTATGTTATCAAGAAAAACTTTTTCAAAGAGTTACGTCTGTTTGTCTGTGCATTCACATTGAGACAAACACAAAACGAAACGGAGAAAGAGTGTTGTGCTTAGATAAAGTTATTTTCCTCAATGTGCTGTTTAAATGAGAAGCTTTTGAATTGTCCCCGGTGGCAAATGATGTAGAAAAGTAGCAAAAAAGTTTCAACCGGGATTTGAACCAAAGATTCTGGGATCCAAAGGCACGTACCTAACAAGTTAGTCCAGTGACGCTTGCTGGCAAATTGCGATAAAACCAAATAAGAATCATGGATTCATTGACTTATTGCATGAATGGATTCAATCAAGCTTTAGCCTCCTAAATAAAGCTAAATTAATTAATTAATTAATTCAATCAAGCCAAAAAGTTTCTCAAAGAAGAACAAAGTGTGGTTTCCTCATTCTTTTTTGCATATTGAAGAGGCCATCCGAACAGCCGTTCTCAGCTTAAGGAAAGTCGAAGCAAAGCAGAGAATAGCGCATGGTATTGAAAACTGAATAAAGTTTTAATTTTACTTTTCTCTTTTTCTGCTCTGAGGTGGAATCATTCCTGTTAACAGGTTTCATGAATCACATACTTTGCAACCTCTTCTTGTTTATAGCATCAAATTATTTTATAATACCGAAAAAAAAAACATTTATGTAGCTGTAATGAGTATTTGCAACCTTGGTGTGGATTTATGTCTCCCAAAGAAGTTGTTGTCAATGCATGCAAAAAGTTGCTCTGCAAATTCTCTGAGCTGAAAATTGAACTGTTGATCAACATTAAAGTACTGCCTAAAGGTAGTTGTAGAAAAGGTTTTGGTTTTGTGATATCATATAAAAATTGAATGAAAAAATTGTAACAATACGCTTTATTAACAATAAACTTATATCACATTGCTGGGGTACACTTAAATTAATAGTAGATCTCGAAGAAATCAATAATAAGGCCTATATCCATACCCATTGTAAAGTCCTCCGTATTTGCCGGGATATCCTGTTGAATAAGTTGTTGTAGAACTTGATCCATTCGAAACCTACTTCAAGCCTAACAAATCATCATCGCTTACCATAACCATAACCTCCGTAGGGATTGTAACCTGTATTGGAATTGTTTTTTTTTTTTCATTTAAATAATCTATGCAAAAAAACTAATTCAATCTTACCTCCGCCGTAACCTCCATAGCCGCCGTATCCTCCGTATCCACCATATCCTCCGTATCCTCCATATCCACCATACCCTCCGTATCCACCATTAGAACCATACCCTAAAATCAAAACGATAATTACTTTATTGTGAACGTACTGTTTGAATTTGAATACTTTTTAAACACCGTGAGGTGTTGTGATCAATATGATCTGAAACTTTCAAAATATCAAAACCTTCCTCGGTAAGCATCAAGAGGTTTGCATTTTCTTGATTTTATTTTTTTTGTGGGTTCTTACACTTCCGCATTGAATCGTCTCTTTTTTTGGACGTCTCTAAATAGGTACAGAAATAAGTAACAAAAATAAGGTGTTACAGGTCACATTGACCCAGATCTGAAATTGAGTTTTTATGTAAGGTTTTCCTCATCAAATCTATGTTTTCTTCTTCTTACCCTGGCTATGGCAGTAGTATCAACAATCAATACGCATTGAAAGCCCTCAATTAATAGCTGTAGAAGTGTGTTTCACGAGACTACCAACCGGTGGAAACAAACGATTTTAAATTGGCTCACTACTTGATTAGCCTATTGGTCCCAAGCAAACGATTAACGTACCCCATTCTAGTCGAAATTCTAGAACTACACAATGTTTGTTTTGATTCGCTATGAAAGTTTGACAGATAAAATGAGGGGTTAGTGGATTTTCCTATGTTTCGAGGGGTGAATCGATTAGCTTGGGACCGAAGAGAGTACCAGCATAGAGGTAACTCTAAGACCAGAAGGTCCCGAAATAACGTGCTCAACTTTTTAGCTCAGCTCTGGTACTCTCTTCGGTCCCAAGCTAATCGATTCACCCCTCGAAACATAGGAAAAACCAATAACCCCTCATTGTATCTGTCAAACTTTCATAGCGAATCAAAACAAACATTGCGTAGTACTAGAATTTCGACTAGAATGGGATACGTTAATCGTTTGCTTGGGACCAATAGCAACAATCAATACGAAACTAACGATTTTAAATTGGCTCACCACTTTAGTAGCCTATTGGTCCAAGCAAACGATTAACGTACCCTATTCTAGTTGAAATTCTATTACTACACTATGTTTGTTTTGATTAGCTATGAAAGTTTGACAGTTAACATCAGGGGTGTGTGGATTCATGCAGAACATGCAGGGGTGAGTGAAATAGCTTGGGACTGCTTGGGTCCGTTGTTCTGGTACTGAGTGAGCCAAAAATAATAATGATTTTCTTCGGGACCCAGTGGTCTTAGAGTTACCTCTATGATAATACTAAGCGTTCGACGCATACGAAGTGCGTATGAAACGTGTGTAGATAAATTTTACCCATTTTTGCATTGAAAAAAGTAGAGATTTTTCATCGATTTTTTGAGCGATGATCTGCGATCTGCCAATCAGTAAATCCTAAAATTTAAATTCAAGCTGTCATATGTTTACCGTTTACAGTCCAATTATGAAAGTGATACGTGTTGATGTGTTGGTTATATGTAGTTATGGTCAACACAGTGGGGAAACATCGCTCGATGGCGTGCTAGCCACACTTTTTTCAGTCTGGAGAACAGCTGTTACAATGTATTTTCTTCATTAAGTCAAATTAAGAACAACGCTTAATACCCCGTACAGACTATGGCTTATATCATGTAATATAGCCTGTCTTGCAATGAGCACGTATACATCTAGTTTTCACTGGAAATCCTATGTATGAGTGCTCATTGCAAGACAGCATATATTACATGATATAGGCCATAGTCTGTACGAAGTATAAACAACAATCAATACGAAACTAACGATTTTAAATTGGCTCACCACTTTAGTAGCCTATTGGTCCCAAGCAAACGATTAACGTACCCTATTCTAGTTGAAATTCTATTACTACACTATGTTTGTTTTGATTCGCTATGAAAGTTTGACAGATAACATCAGGGGTGTGTGGATTCATGCAGAATATGCAGGGGTGAGTGAAATAGCTTGGGACTGCTTGGGACCGTTGTTCTGGTACTGAGTGAGCCAAAAATAATAATGATTTTCTTCGGGACCCAGTGGTCTTAGAGTTACCTCTATGGTATAAACATGGAGGTAACTCTAAGACCAGAAGGTCCCCAAGAAACGTGCTCAACTTTTTGGCTCAGCTCTGGTACTATCTTCGGTCCCAAGCTAATCGATGCACTCCTCGAAACATAGAAAAATCCACGAACCACTCATTTTATCTGTCAAAATTTCATAGCGAATCAATACAAACATAGTGTAGTACTAGAATTTCGACGTTAATCGATTTGCTTGGAACCAATAGGCTAGTCAAGTAGTGAGCCAATTTAAAATCGTTAGTTTCCGCACCGCGTTATGGAATTATATACAGCCCTATTTTAGCGAGAAAGCTATTTCGTTCATATGTGGTATACCATGCTGTATATTGAACCTAGTTTGAGCAAAATCCAACCTTTTTGGGATAGTTACGTTTGATTTTTGATATACTTTGAAAGTTAGAAGAGGTGAGGTAAGCACATATCATTGGCAAGAGACGAAAATTTGCGAAAAAAAAATATCTAAGGGCACGGGTGGGATACGAACCCACCATTCCCATTGAGTACACAGGTGCATTGCCAATTATACAACGGTGGACCTATGGTCTACGGATATATTTAACTAATGAGATTTGAGTTTCGAATCCATCGATCGAGCCTGAGAGTATTGTGCGGTACCCAACAAACATTTTGAGCTGATTGAGCTGAATAAACCAATTTTTAGCTGTAGAAGCCTATTTGCCTGAACTAGCTTTTATTTAGCATTCAATGTTTGTTGGGTAATAAGGAGGAGAAAACATAAAACAGCACCAAATTTTTGGCGTATGTCTCCTAGTTTATCATGCAGGACTAAAATCAGTACACTTCATATAAAAAATAGGCGAATATTGCACACTTAGAAATAACTAATTTTACACGTGACGGAATCTATCTTTGACATAAAGGATGAAACGTAAACAAACATGTAATGTAAAATTAAGGGCTTCAAGATTGAACAGTTCGTTACTCGACGAACAGTACGTTTGATTGAACTGAATTTTGCGTCCGTTTTGACTCAAATTTATGTCAAAATTGATGCTCGTATATGTCAGTCTCAGAGCACCTAAATTTACATGAATTTTTCTAAGTGTGTGGTCCAGAAGCTAGGCATGAATAAGCATGCTTCTTGGTAACGGGACAGGCGTGCTGTGTATCAGCATCATCACGTATTTTGCAGGTTCAGGCAGCTTACATAAGAGGGATCGACACTTCTGAGGGTGTATTTTGATTAAAAAAGATTTGATACTTCTGCAAGAATACAAAAATCAGTATATTTTATTCAAAAATTTGTTTTTTGTATTACACATTCTGTATGAAAAATTGTCTGAAAATTTGTAACATTCCTGCAGCAAAACTGACCAGAGCTCATATGGATACTCATATAAAAAACCTAAACAAACTTAAGGTGTGTCCACGGTAGAAAAGGTGGAGCTAGTGATGGAATTATTCACAAGATTACCGATACAGGCACCACGTTGGTTTACGATGCTTTAACTTTTTCGGTGGATACATCTTGAGTGTTTCTACTTTAAAATCGATAATCGTGCTATTAGACCAAGTGAAGTTCTGGAGAAATTTCAAAAATTTAAGCCTTGGTTGAAGAACACTTTATTAGAAATATCTCCAGAATAACTTTGATGACCACTACCAAAGGAAATGCGGGAGAATCTCTGTACTGTACTGCTCATACCTAGGTGCCCTACAAATGGAAAACAAGACTCCCTTTGAAACAAAAATCAACAAACGACCTGATTAGGGTAATTTGAAAAAAACTTTGGAAGGGTAGCATATGTCTAAATTCCAAAAGAAACTCTATAGAAATTAGATGCAAAAAACCAAATGCCTTACTTTTGTGGTTTACGCAAATAATGGTTAAAGGCTTTGGAACAAACTAACTCGATCGATAGAAGCTTCAAGAAATGTAATTTTCGATGAAGATAAGCTATAGAGCAGTTTCACGTCAAATGACGAATCGGAAAAACTCGAACTTCTCTGATTTGTATGAAACTTTGCATAATTGTTTGTTCAGGCCCATGATTCACATTTTTGCTAAAATTCGGCCGTTTTGCACCTTTTATAAGTTTCAAAATTAAGCCTTTGAAATTTTTCAATAAATTTTTAAACTTTTGCACTCTGATCAAAATGACGTCTGTGGCAAAGTTGTAGAGAAAAATAATGTTTTCCTGGAAGAAATAAAAAAAATGTTTTTAGTAATTTCAAGATAGCGCCGGTGGTGTAGTGGTAAGCGTGATTACCTCTCACTACAAAGGGCCTGGTTTCAATCCTAGTCGGCGCCGTCGGGATTTTCTGAAGCATAAAACCTACAGTTAATTCACTTTAAATTATCCTTCAAATTCCCTTAGAACGGTCTCTGAAACTTCTTCAGATTTGATTAAGATTTTCTTTGAATTCTACTCAGTCAACAGTGTCTTCAGAACGCGAAATTTAAATTCACCTTTTAGTTCTCTTTACAATTTTCTTTAAATGCTTTTCAAAATTACCCAGCATATAAAGTAAAATTTATGTTGAATTCTGCATAGATAAATTCCTTTAGAATTATTCATAGTATCTAAAATTCTTTAGAATCCTCTACAATTCTCTTAGGCTATACATCACTTTCTAACTTTCGGTGGCCTACTCGGCCCAGTAGCGTTCGGCCAAGTGCGCTTGCAAATCCTAGAGAATTTTTTAAAACATTTGTTTTCAGCGGCATCTATTGCAGAAATCATTCATTCGGTATTCCTTTTTTACAATATTCAGCTGTTTAACTTAAATCCAGTGACAACCCTGAAAGTGTCCGGATTTTGATTCATTTCGTGAACCGAGGACTTTACACGATAAATTTCATGTTCATCGTAGAATGACACTCAATTGCGGATCAGAGACCGACGTTAAACAAAGTAATCAAGAAGAAGAAGGGTCTGGCTTAGAGTACTTTAAATGACAATCAGGGTGAATAACGAAAATTTGATGATTTAAATTAGTAACATGACAAACTTGTTGCACTTCATTTGCCGGACCCAAACTCACCCCGAAATTGAG